AGTCAAAATAAATCTTAGAGTAGCAGGTTCCAAAACAAGGTTAAAAGTCTTATCATAGTTAATACCTAAACTTTGTTGAAAACCTTTAGCAACAAGTCTTGCTTTAGGTTTAAGAAATGTACCATCAAGATTAAACTTTGACTTAAGTACTTATTTGCAGTCAACAACCATTTCTTTACCAGTTTTAGGAACCAAAATCTAGATCTGATTTCTTACAAGAGCATTAAATTCATCTATCATAGCCTTTTTCCAGATTTTTGAATTTAAAGCATCTTTAATAGTAAATAGTTCTTCATCATTAGATTTACTAATTTCAATTAAACCAATAAAAGGAACTTTAGGTTTAAATATACCAGCTTTGCTTCTAGTAACCATCCAATGCTAATTTTATGTAACACCTTAAACACCTTGATCAGGTTCAGTTAAAGATACTGTCACTGCATGATGTTGAGGACTGTAAATTTAATTTGGTAAGGACATAGAAACTTTGTTATTATTGCCTGTATTATTCTCTGGTGATGTATAGCTTTGAGATGAATCAGGACCTTCACTAACAAGATGTTCATTTGGTAAAGCAAATGAAGAAATAGTAGTGTTTGGTGGTTGAGACAGCTGAGGAGATATATCACCAGAGAAAGAGCACTATAAAGGCAAAGAACAAAGTGCAGGTTTGAAGAACATAGTAGGATGAGTCTCATCCAAAGGTAATTGTCTCCTATTTATGAAACCATTAGCAAAAGGAAACTCTTTTTCATTTAATTCAACATGTCTAGATATGAAAATTCTACCGATAGGACTTAAGCACTTATAACTTTTGTGTGAGTTGTTATAACTAATGAAAACATACTTTGTTGTTCTAAAATCAAGCTTATGCTGATTATAAGCTCTTAGACAAGGGTAACATGCTACTCCAAAAACCTTTAAATTGGAGTAATTAGGATACTTACTAAACAACCTCATAAATGGTGAAATACCCCCTAGAATAAGAGTAGTAAGTCTATTTATGAGCATAGTTTCTGTGTGAAATATCTCCCACTAATAGAATAAAGGTATTTTTACTTGGGCAAGCAAAGTAAGTCTTGTCTCTACTATATGTCTATGTTTGTATTCTACTCTCCCATTTTGTTGAGAGGTATGAGGGCTAGAATGCCTAAACATAATTCCAGCATCTTGAAGAGTTTTTGCAAAACTATGATATTCTTCACCCCAATCATTTTGAACTATTTTAATCTTCTTCTTAAGCTAATTCTCAACATGGTTCTTGAATTGAATAAACATAAATAAAGCCTCATCCTTAGATTTCAAGGGGTAGATCCATGAATATCTGCTATAGTCATTAACAAATAGTATATAATAACGAAAGCCATTAGTAAAAGATAAGAGAGAAGGTCCCTAAAGATCTGTATGTATGAGTTGCAGGGGATGAGAAGTTTTAGATGTTGAAGCTTTAAAGGGTAGAGAATGAGACTTTCTATATTTGCATGATTCGCAAAACCTAGGTTCAATTTTTGCATTAACTTTCAAATTACATTCACTAATAATCTGATTCAAAATTTGGTCATTAGGATGACCAAGTCTATCATGCCAAAGCTTCCTGACATCATTACAACTAGTACTAGTATTATATTGATGAGTTAATACTCTAACTTCTTCAACAGTAAAAACACATCCTGAGTTGTCTGAGTTCTTTGTCTTTTCAGCAGCAAGACTTCCTATCTTTTGAACCTTTATGGCATCAACTCTATAAAGTCCAGTGTTACTTCTCACCCTTTGCAGCAAAATTTTTCCTGTTTCTTGATTCTTACCAATGGCAGCATGAGCATTCATTAGAGTCAATGCATTATTGCATCTGACAATTTTGGAACGCTAATAAGCTTTTTCTTAGCTTTAGGTGCAAAAAGAACATTATTTAATTTGACTAAGTTTTGAGGGACACTTTGAAATTGTGTAGAACCAATTTTGGAAACAGGTAAGTTTTAACCATTAGCCACAAATAACATAACCTTACCATCATTAAGCACTGCTTGATCAAGAGTAGAAGCATCATTAGTCATATGGGAAGTTGCTCCACTATCAAGATACTATGAGTTATCATTGATAGTTTCTGGGGTGGCATAAAAGGCTTCATTAAAGCTAACAGCAGAGGAGGAACCATTGTCAAAACTCCTACGATTGTTAGTAGGAGGATTAAAGGAGCGATCAAACCTTCGAAAACAATTTTTAACTGAGTGACCAAGTTTGTCATACAGTTGACAAGGAGGTTTTCCACTATTTCCAGATCTATTACCTTTTCCACGTCCTCATTGACTTCATCCACCATAAGAGCCACACCAACCACCACGACAAAAATCAGTCCAAGTGAAATTAGCAAACTAAGCATTGAGATTAAGCTGACATAACTAACTTAGCTGATCCAAACGACTCTCAAATGTGAGCAAATTGGTTTGAAACTCAATCCAACTTATATCCTCTTTAGAAGCAAGTTTGACCATAATGGCATTATATTCACCATCAAGGCCAACAAGTACTTGAAGGAATAAATTAACTTATGGAATAAAACTCCCAGCTAGTGTTAGACTTTCAGCAAAACCTTTCATCTTATTGAGATACTCTTCCATACGCATCACACCCTTCCTAGTGCGTTGCATTTCAGATCACAACATCAGAATACGAGCCTTGTTTTGTGCTCCAGTGATTTCACGAGCTGCATTCCAAAGCTTAACAGCAGTTGAAACTTGCATCATTGTTGCTCACCGCAAGTGCACGGGTCGTAGCAAGTAATATAAAATGAGTAAAGTATCGTTCCCTCGAGGATTTGTTTAGAAAACTATAATCAAGCAAAAGACTAAGCAAATTTGATCAAGTTGAGCGTCACAAAGTTAGGTGAAAATGATTTTTCAAATGAAACTAACACTAGAAAATAAAGAAAAGTGAGTGATTCACAAACTTCTAACACAATTTAGGACTTAGAATTATTTATCCCCTTTTGCATTTCATAACACCAAAATTATCTCCTCTCATAAATGCTTTTAATGAAAATAAGTGCTAACCTAGGGTTCTAAAAATACTTGGACAAGCTCTCTCAAGTCATGAACAAGTGTTTAGTTAAATTGATTGCACAATCTCTTGTTACAATTAATAAAACTCAATTTCAAACACCAACCCTAATGTGGCTATGTAAGGCTAGCAAGTATATCTCTATCTTACTAGCAAAACCATCCATTCAACATGCAAATATCAAGTTCTTACACAATTTTACTCAAGTTCTACACTCAACCTAGCCCTCTCAAGCATAAATTTAGTGAACCCAACATCTAAATGGTGGCCAATCAAGTAGAAGCATTAAGGAAAGAGTAAAATAAACACATATATATCATTAATCACAAAAAGAGAGGAGAAATATTGTGTTAATCCATACAAGGGTTCTAAATAATCCTAGAACAAAGGGTTTAGCTACTCATAATCATCCAAAAGCTACAAATATACAAAATAAGTGGACCCATTTCAGATTACAAGAGAGGAAAGGGAAGAGGAATAGAAAAACCAAAGAAAATGAGCTCCAAATGTCTTCAAAGCTTCAATCTCTTGATCTCAACTCTTCCAATGCCCAAACCCTAGCACAACCAAGCTCTAAAAGTTTTTAAAAGTCTGAAGAATGTGTTCTGGGTCGAGCTCTCAGCTTATATGTATCCTAGCCAACTAATTTCTGATAAATGAAACGCAACGTTTTTCTGACAGCGGCGAAAGTCACGAACGAAAGTCACAACTTTGGGACGACTTTGGCAGTTTTACACTGTTTTTACAGCTAACAAAAATCATTCATTTTGCTCTTGATTTCTTCATCCAAAAGCCTTCCAAAAACATCCACAAAGCTCCAGAAATGCTTCTAATCAAAACTTCAATCAAAATAACATAAAATTAGGCTAAAAATATCAAATTCAAGCCAAGAACACAAGCCCAAAACAAAATGCACATTTTCCTAAATTGGGCAATAAAAACATATACAATTAAACCAAAATGGACTAGAATCTAAGGAAAATGTGATGAAATAATATAAACTTCTAGAGGTTAACAATCATTTAAGATGAAATATCTAAAGTCATAGTATTAAGTAGCCATCCAAAAATGAGCTGATTAGTTGAGACCCAGTCCTCAAATCTGGATTAAGTTTAGTTTTATCCTTATCATCAAGAATAAACTGAGGTGGATATGGTTTGGTGCCATAAATGAACCCATCGAGCTTGAAACCTCTTAGAATAGGTAAAACATGGGTTTGTCAAATAATATAATTTGTTATGTCCAACTTGATAGAGACTGGCTGAGACAAGGATGAAGGTCTAGTGGGATTTTTGGTGAGAGCAGTAGTAGAAAAAAGTGAGCCGACAGATTCAAAATTAGACCCAAACTATGAGGTATTTGATGAGACTGCAGCCATGGCTATTAGCCTAAAAGTTCTGATACTGAGATAAACTTTACTCAAAAGAAGAAAGTGATAAAAGTGGCGCACAGAGCCCAATGAATATTATACTATATATAGAGAATGTATAGAAATCCTAATGAATGTGGGTTAGCCAAGTGTACAAAGAATACTTTACAACAGACTATAAATATAAATAATATATAGACAAATATACTAGACTCAAAGATCTATAGTCAGCTATTGGGCTTCTATATACTGATTGGGCTTGTGTAAGCTGGGCTTCTTCTCTAGTGTCCTAACAGTAACTCAAATCCTTCCACCTTTTTTTTTTTTTTGCCAGATCTCAAATCCTTCCACCTATGTGATACTATAAAAATCATCCATTCAATAAAACGGTTGTTAGAGATGTTAGTATAAGATACATAGCGAATATCATACCAAAGTTCTACTTTTTTCCATGCCCTATATCTTAATCGAATAATTCATATACTTCTGGTCAAACATGAATTTCCAAGTGGATAAAATCTTATTATTGCGGTGCGTACACTCACTCGCTATATGAAAGGATTTCAGAAACTCGTAGAATCTAGATCCGCAATACATGACTAGAATTCTCCGATCAGTTGTTACACGGTGTGAGTATATTATATATAGTCCTTCATATTAGATGTATACTGTAGTACAAGCCGCAGAAGGTGACTAGTTCAGTCCATAGAACAAAACAATGAGAGAAGTCGAAGTAGAAATCATTTCCGCACAAGACATCAAACCTTCGAGTCCAACACCATCCCACCTAGGAACATTCAAACTCTGTCTCTTAGATCATCTCATTCCCGCTCCTTATGCTCCAATAATCTTCTTCTTTCCCTCGCTTGCCCTCTCAGAGATCCCCAGAAACCTACACCTTCTAAAGCAGTCTCTGTCAGACACACTAACCGTCTTCTACCCTCTCGCAGGAAAAATCAAAGATGATTTCTCCATTCACTGTAACGATGAAGGAGCCAACTTCGTTGAAGCTAAGGTCAAGTGTTTACTTTCTGAGTTCCTCACCAAACCTGACCTTATCTCTCTGCATAATCTTCTCCCATGTGACCTCAAGATTCCAAAAGAATCATACGTAGGAAGCCACGTGAGTAACATTCAAGTGAATGTGTTTGATTGTGGTGGGATCGCTATTGGTTTGTGTATTTCACATAGGGTCCTTGATGGGGCTTCATTGAGCAGCTTTCTCAAGGTGTGGACGAATAAGGCTAGAGTTGGCTGTGCTGATAATGATCACAAGGAAGTGGTGAAGCCAGAGTTATTGATGGCGTCTTCGTGGTTTCCAATGAATGATGATGATGGTTTGTGGCTAAGAAACTCGTCCATGGCTATGTGGGGTTCCATGTTTAAGAAAGGACAGTTTGAGACGAGAAGGTTCTGGTTCAGTAATTCTGCCATAGCCAACCTCAAGGTCCAAATGGTTGATTTTAATTCAGAGATGGTGAAAAGTCCTACTCGTCTCGAGATAGTTTCTGCTATCTTGTGGAAGTCTTTCATGGATGCGTCCATCGCCCAATCTGATTCTGGTAAGTGCTGGATGTTTCATCAAGTAGATTTAATTAATTTAAATAAGGAATCAGGAATGGTTTTGTTTTCTTTTCTTTGGATAATGAAACTTTAGTCCTTGAGTTTGATTCAGTTATTCACCTTCAAGTTTAATTTTTATTAAATTAATTTTTATATATTTTTTAAATTATCATGTTGGTCTTTTAAATTTTAAAACACAAATTAAATTTCAAATTAATTTAATATGTAAACTTTAGAGACTAAAAACTTCATTATCTCATTTTTTAAATAAATATTAATTGTTGCAAGCCATTGAGGTTCGGATTATTTGAAATGATCCACTCCACCAAAAGGCCAGCTATTTGCCGGGTAAAGGCCATGTTACTTGCTCGCTGTGGTCCTATTTTTAGAAGCTTTTTATGATCCTTTTTATAAATTATTTTACAAAATTTATGAATCAATTAATATTTTTTGAATAATGCCCTTGCCATTAATTCGTATATTTATGGTGGGGAGAGGGAGAGGGAGAGAGAGAGAGAGAGATATTATATAATAGGCTCTGAGGTAATATATAATTTGTTAAAGTTAATATTGGAAATTAAAGATATGATACTTTTGAGAACATCAACTAAATTTAACAAATTTATTTCTTAGTCTTTATCAGTAACTTAGATAGAAGTGACTTTTGTATAATAGAATCCGATCGATGGAGTATATTAGAAGCATGAAACATATAAAATTCTTTGTATTCCAACGCCATGATGAAGATAAAAGAGGAGACCTAGTAAGGTTGGGGATTTCATTTGTTCTTTACCCAAATAATACGATTTATCTCAAATTTCAACCCATCTTGGCCCCGATCCACTTCTCACTGGTTAAAATTTTTCATGAGCTCTCGAAAGTGTAAACCTTCTATAATTACTTTATGAACTCATTTGCCACTTAATTAAGAAAATTAATATGCTTGAGAAAATTCATCATATGGGTTTTATATTTAGGAATTAGGATAAGAAGAAAACTTCTAAAAGGAGCAAGTGCTGAAGGAAGTAGTTAAAAAAAGAGACAGCGAAGGAATAAAGCTCACTCTTGTTCTCTCCTGTCTTTTTCTATGGCACGTGAAAGGTGTCCAGTTATTGTATCTCTGATTAATTTATTGTATCATGATCCACTATTAGTATATGTACATACTGGTATTTTGTTTTTTATGCTTCTATGGCTGTATATTCACTCCCATCCTTATTACCATTATTTATTCCCATTCAGATTGTTTCAACAATATATAATACCCAATTTACAATGATATTTGTATCTTAAAACAAAAGTGTGTTTTTCGTACATATTAAAATTGTGTTTTATTTTTCTTAATAAAAATTCATGCTCACCCTTTTCTTCTGATCACATTTAACTCAGATTGCTACAATAACAATAATACCCAATCAAGAAGGACTTGTTTGGTGAGTCACCTAGTGAACTTGCGTAAGAGAATGAAAGACAAAGACGACGACCTGTGTTCTTCCGCAGAAAACGCCATTGGAAATCTTCTCTGGTTAGCTTTTGCAAAGTCCAACGTAGCAGAAGACGGCAACAACAATAAGGAGACAAGATTAGATGGGTTGTTGAAGAAACTAAGAAAAGCATTCTCGACAATCGACGATAAGTTCGTTGAAAACATGCGAAGTAACCATGCTAGGAAGTCAACAATGCTCCCGTCTCTGAATATCAAATCAATGATAGGCGATGATGATGAAGATAGTGAAGTTGAGTGTTTAGGGTTTACAAGTTGGTGCAATTTTGGGTTCTACGAGGTTGACTTTGGTTGGGGCAAGCCCTTGTGGGTTAGTAGCATTGGTTCGTGTGGTTCGGTGTTCATGAACCTTGTGATTTTGGTGGATTCAAGGTTTGGTGATGGCATAGAAGCTTGGGTTACCTTGGATGAGCGTTTCATGGGCCATTTGGAAGCCAACCCTGAGCTTCTTGGATATGCTGTATTGGATCCAAGTCCTTTGGCAATTTCCAACAAACTGGATTATGGGTCTCCAGCTTTGTGCAAGATGTAATATTACAAACCGCCAAACCATATATTTTCTTATCTTATCTTATATACAGTAAATTTAAGTGTCATGGGACCCACAATTGCCTTTTTTTTTTTTAATTCAATTGTTTCTCTCTCACTTTTTCACAGCATTTTTTGTCATGCTTTTTTTTTAGTGCGTAATTATAATGTGTTATGATCTACTAAAAATAAACTATATATTGAATACAATATAAGAGTCACATTCTATCAAGTCAAAATTTCTCATTTAAGATATACACACCACATAATGTCTATAGATAGAAAAAAGAAATAAGTGAATTTCTATTTAATCCCATGCATCATGCAGGGCATTTTCTAGTTCATAGATATAACAATTTCCTATGCATTTTAGTATTTGATTCGTTAAATACCTTAAATCCACTCATTAAATGTTTTAATTATAGTAATTGAATTTCATAATGCTTGAAAATTATCAAGACATAGTTTCTCCAATAATTTAAGATTTGATGTTCTATGAGCATCATATAACAAAATCTCTAACAATCGTTTAATTAAATTAAATAATTATTATTATGTCACATGAAATATTTTCATAAAATAAGTGAATTTGTGTCATTTACTAGATCCAAATTCTAAATTGTATGTATTCATGTGTGCTATATTTTCTATGTCTGTGATTGTCTCTACTGAAAAAGACACCTGAACAAAATTAAAAAAAAAAACTAAGTGTTAAATATAGATAGGAAAGCTAACAAAATGCAAGCTAACAAGCCTTTTCAGAGAACGGATTTGGTCCTAGTTTCTCAACTTCTTCTTACATCATGTGTTATTAAAATTAAATATAAAGAGTTCAAATTTAATATATTTTTTTAAAAAAATAGTATCAGAATATTGACATATTAAATTATTTAAGTGATAGAAATTTAAGGATTAAAAAAATTTGAGGGGTGAAATAGAAGTGAAAAAAAAAAAAAAGGAAAGGAAGCCAAAGCTCGATGCACTCTAGGGATGTAAGTGGTCCTTTTTGGACAAGTTTTTTTTTTTTTTTAATGAAAGGAAAAAGGTTCTTATCTTTATTTAATGGGCCCTTTGAGACCATCCAAAAAGACCCATTTTGGACCTTTCTCTAGTAACATAGCTCGGCCCATTGAAAGCCCCTTACAACTTTACTCAAAAACAAGGAACTAGGCTTCTTTTGGCCCAAAAACCTGGCTTCTTAAACAAGTGGAATAAAAAATATATTCATGTTCCTAAATAAAAATATAACAAAATTAATACTATGTGTTTCTTTGTGCATAACAAAACTATTTAGCTATTTGAAAATAACCTTATTAAGGATGTGATGTGGCCTGGGTAGAAATTTACTAGCACATGAGAAATTTTTTTAAAAAAAATAAAAATGTATGTAAAAAAAAGATAGATGTATTTTTTTACTTTTTTAAAAATACATTTTTCTACCTCCAAGTTAAAACCTCAACTGGTGTTATAAGCAATAAATCCATTTTTTTTTATCCAAAAAGCATTTCTGTTGTGAAGAAACTAACAAGAGTTCAACAAAAGAAACCAAAAATTTCAAGGGGTTGATCGCAGGTACAAAGCTTAATATATTTCCCTATTTTATAAGTATAAAGAGTCTTATTTTGGTATTATTTTACGCATACTATTGTGAAAAACATTAATAATGTTATTGATGAGATGTTAAAGCTAGAGAGTTCTTTTTTATATATATAATTACACAAACAAACGAAAGTGCTATACAACGTATTTCATTTTTTAACTTAATTTTTAAGAAAAATATCATATATTTCCTCTGGTCATTTGATAAATTATTTTCAACATATTTGACTATCAATGAAAACTTTAAAATTTATTAAATCTGTTTAGAAATCTAATAAGGTTTTTTTAATCAAAACTTTATCTCTATTAAAAATTATTTTAATAATATACTATGCCTCTCCATTTAATTGGAGGTAAAAAGAATTTTTTTTTGATAAAAAAAGCCATTTAAATGTCTTATAAATAAAATAAAAAATTATTTTTTAATTTCTCCTCTTATAAAATAAGATACGAATGAGTTTGGGGAAAAAAAAAAGATACGAAGAAGTAATATAAAACACCTTATCCTCTTGAAAACTATTATATACAAAATATTGTTGTGGCCAGGAATTTCTTTCTGGAGTTTCAATGAGCCTAAGATCTTGACTTCTGTGGGGCCCGGGCCAACACGTTCTCAGCCTTCTAGAGGTTTCATTCATGGCTTCCAACGCTATTTCTAGCAGCTTCTTTAGAGCTTAGAAATAATTAAAAAAAAATAATAATTAAGTCTCAAAATTTTTTTTTATACTAAAATCTCAAAACATTTAATTAATAATAAATAAATTCCTGAAAAAAATATTTTTTAATGAATGAAAAATATTGATATAGTAATTGTAAATTTAAAAGTTTGAATTGTAAATAAATATATTTAATTATTAAATATAACTCTTAAATTATAACAATACTTTATGTTTGTAATTGTTTAATGAATATTTAAAACTCATTTTTTTAAAAAACTTTGTTAGAGACTTTATTAATATTAATTGAAAGTAATGGGACCTAATTGTCATTCTTCTAGAATTTTTTGGATTTGGATTTCCCAAATAATTTAAGTCTACTTACTCAACAAGTATATATTTAAATTAAAGTCATTAGATTTAATCAATGTTTGAAAATAATCAAGATACACATTCCTTTAAAAAAAAAAACTAAAACAGTATTCACTATCAAAACACTCCTCTTGTGCATTAGTAATAGTTTGTGATTTAATATTTTTGATAATTATTCAATTAAATTAAATGATTATTATCGTGCAATGTAAGATATTCATTAAATAAGTGAATTTAAACAACCAATCGGATCTAAATTTTTTTTAAAGCAAACACAAAAACAATTTAAACGTGCTTTGACAAATATAAAGCCTGTTTGAATAGAAATTTAATCAATTATTTCAGGTAAAAAATTAATTTTTGCCAAAATTATCCAAACATGTATTTATCCAGAAAATTGATTTTTGCTCAAAAAAATTGATTTTTTTTCTCAAAGCTCCCAGACTTAGTTTCTGCGTTCAAATTATCTAACAAATATAAGAAAATTACAAGAAAGGCCTAAGAAAAAATTATGAAAAAATATACAAAATTTAATAAAATTAAAAAATTATGATAATTTATACAGTTATATAGTTAAAATTAATTCTGAATAAATTATTTAAATATTTTTAATTCTACTAAAATTAATTTTAAAAAAATAATATCTAAACAGATTACGTTATAACATAATTAAATGATTAAAATCTATCACTTAATCAATTATTTTTATAATTTATTATATTCAACTAAAATCTAAATGGACATATACGTGTGGAAAAAAATTATAAGCAAGAAAGATCTTTTAACCACTCATGCTTTGATAAATATACAGTGGTATTCAAAGAAACCACACCACACTAAAAACACAGGAAATTTTCTAAAGAATTTAATGACAAAATAATTTTCGTCATAAAATTTGTCATACATTTAGCTAAATACGAAAAAATATATACCAGCCACTCCGATACTAAAATTTCAGAGGTAGAGACCATTGCCAGACTATCTTTGATTTCTTTCACATATAATGTTATGAATTAATCTAACCTCCAATGGCCCTATCTTAGAAGGTGATTTATGTTAATATGATTTGGTATTTAATAAATTAATATAATAATTATAATTAGATATAATTCTTAAAAGCTTAAGCTTGAAGTATACACATGGCGGCCTATCAAGAACGAAGGCTTCAATAAGTCGATGACTATATGAAGCAAGCAATTCATTCAACAGACAGTCAAATCCCAACTGTAAGTCCTTACAACAACAACTATAACATCTCTACCTATCTCCAACTACAACCTTGAAGCTTCTAGCACTTTCGTCATCTTATATAAATACCACCCAAATCCCTTCAAACCCTAACCATAACACCAGCATTGTATTATTGTACATCAAACAATTCTTTAATTTGCAGATTTTGCTAGGTTATGGATCCCCGTTGGCATCACCCTCCTCCTCCAGGTCCGCCGCCACCACCAGGTCCACCTGGTCCTCCACCGCCACGGGTTTTTGATCCGCCACCACCTCCGCCTCATGTTGCATACCCACCACCACCACGTCCAGGAGGTCCACCTCCACCGCCAGGTCCGGGTGGTCCACCGCCACCGCCAGGTGGTCCTCCTCCTCCTCCACCTTATTAGTTATCATGCATGTATGATGCATAATCATAATAATTTGTTTATGGCTATGTGTGTTTGTGGCAGTAAAATCAGTCAATTATAAATATTGGGCTTGTATGAATAAAATATGTTAATAATGTTCATAGAATGTCTATATATAATATTACTTGCGTTATACGGTTACATATTTCTCTGATGAATCTTTTAGTTTTTTGATTGTAACGTATTATTAATGAATAGTATATTCATTTCTATATATATCATCATCAGAGTCATCAGTTTATAGCATATTGCTTCTTTTTTTTAATTATTTCCTTTTAATGTGTCTCTAGTTTTGCAAGTGTGTTTCTTTTCTTTTCTTTTCTTTTTTTCGGGTTATATATGAACATGGTAATTCCTTAAAAAAAAAGGAAATTAAAAGTCAAGAAACGTATGCGGTATATATAATGTTTTTGACTAAAAAGTAAATATATGTTCGACGAAAGCAAAAATATTTAATGGTCTTTTATTTTTCGAAGCAACTGAACCACCTTGAACGGTTTGAAAATAACAAACCATTGAACCAGAACTTCAGTTGGCTCTAAAGGAAAATTAAAACAAAAAAAGGTAGAATATAGTAGCCACTAGGCCAGTTTTATCCGATTATTATTGATATATATATATATATATATATCTCCCTGTGTGTCTCTGTGTGTGAGAGAGAGAGAGAGAGAGAGAGAGAGTGTGTGTGTGTGTGTGTGTGTGTGAGAGTGAGAGGGAGAGAGAGAGAGAACAGCAAGGAAACATATGGAGCATGATCCTCGAGGGTACGGGAACTTGGCCAAAGACCGATTTCGAATGCCCTTAGTTTCACTTAATACTCATTTAATTACAGTAAAAGTTGGCATAAAAAAGCTCGATCGCTAG